TAGGGGCAAATGCTGAACCTGGCACCTTTAGCTTTATGCACCACTAATCTGACTGTCTTAACTTAATTATTTTTAAATATAAAGTAGAAAAATATGCGGCGTAACATCAGGGGGGAGGGGGTTTTACAAATGTGACTACTTGTGGCAAAAACGGGGGGAGAGGTTTAAAAATCATAAAATTTGTGTGACGTAATTTATGGATGGCTCCGTTTCGAGGTATTGCTGAAATGAAATAGACGAATCTTACAGTAACGTTTGAAATAGATAAGAAACTGTGGTGATGGAAATAATAAAAGCAAGAAAAGAAATACCCCAAGTTAACCTAAACAATTTTAAAAAAGGTAGACACTTGTGAGCATTCTCAACGCAAGACCGTTTATCTATAAAAGAATAAATGGCAAGACAATTTTGCGTTGAGAATGCTCACAAGAGTCAGTGAGTGAAACATGTCCGCGTTTTCTAAAATTGTTATGACGAATATGGGTAATTCTTTTCTTGTTTTGATTGTCGATAATAATTCTTGATGTCCTGGCGCTACTGTAAGTCGCACACCGCACATATGCGTGGCACTGTGAAATAAGTAAATGTAAACAAAAGACATCAATAAAATCTGGATAAAATGATATGAAGCATCAGAACTTAAATGATAAAGCCAAAGCGATAGATATTTAGACGTCTGAACATTTGGCAGTATATACTTCCTTTTGATAAGTGTTCAATTGATACAATGTCGACTAAAGGTCGACTATGAAAGGGTGACGGTATGTGTGTGGGGAATTATAGGATTCTGCAATTTAGCTGCTAAATTCTTTATCTGCATATTTTTATTTTAAAGATATATGTACAAATTTACATGTACAGTACAACAATAATGGTTACTGTTTTATGGCTAGATATGCCATTCATCATTGAATTATTTCTTCCTGTAATAAACACACTACTTAATAGTGTTATGCTAAACAAAATTATGTTCCTAAGTTGTCAATTTTATACATTTCATACATTTTACATTTTTTTTAAATATTTCAAAAACTGAAGAAATATTACTCACATTGCCATAATTAGGCCCCAAAAATATCATGGAAAGTTGTTCCATTGTAACCAACTACTGATGTTGGGGCATTTATAAAATGAATGTACATTCTATAAAAGAATTAAAGACATTGTGCCTATTCTACCACTCTTAACTCATAAACCATATTACTAATTTGATAAAGAATGTTTAAGAGAAAATAAAAGTTTACTACTTACTTCTCAGGTGAGATGTTAAGCTCCTTATTTACAATCTCGAAAAGAGCTTTAGAATGTTTTTTGTTTTCTTCTGTTCCTAATGCTCCAATACTCATCAATGTTGCTTGAGCCGCAGGATTACTAGTTCCACCCCAACTTAAATTTACACCACCAGTAACAGATGCGACACAATACTGCAATTAATAAGACATACCTAATTAGTATTACAATATAAAGTACTTACTCTTAAGCATAAGAGTAAAATACATACACTTATAGGTTTGCCCAAAGATTTGGATACCACTTCACATAGCTTCTTAGAAAGATCGGCTGGTATTTTATCTTGTGGAACATTTGTCTCAAGTCTAAAGTAAGGCATTTTGATGAAATTACTGTGGAATAACCGCGCACAGAGAAAAAAAATTGGGGTTATGTCTATCTAAATACTCCCGATAGCTTACAGATTCAACGGGTCAAAATGTTATTAATAACACAGTTATATAAAATCGACAAAAATAATTAATGTCGTTAATTATAGCAACTGCACATTTGTATTGGAACTCTGTTTTTTAACGAAATTATTTTTTAACGTTGTAGAATGTAGAATGAAAGCAAACAGTAGTTCAACTGTACCGCGGTAGATGGCAGTGTCTAAATAAGCAATCATAGTACACTGCACGGTTATAGCCATGGAGATAATGGAATAAAATAGTCAATTTCATCGGACATGATATCTTAAAACAGAAGCACCATTAAATAAAATCAGATAGGGTAAAGGGAGTCCTAGTATTCTTCATTCTGTCCCACCGCTACTTACATTGGCTGAAGAGAAGGAGGTTTTAGCCGGTAGGTCCGAGGATTTTTTCCTTGGGAATCCGATACTACTCGATAGCTGAGTGTCTTTTAAAATAAAGAAAAGCCATTTACAGGGATACGTGGGACTTTCCTACTCTATTCTATTATCTCTATGATTGTAACGGATGTAGTTTAGCGGATGTGGAGCGAACTTTAGTGAGACTAAATTTGCAGATGTGGATGAGAGTGCGGATGACTTAAATTCTAGATTTGCGGATGCGGATGAGAATGAGGCCGTGGATACAAATACGAATATTTCGTTTTCTTTCGAAAGTACTTAGTAGAATTGTTAATGTTCATTCATTCACTTTAGCATGTCTTTCTTCAAATAATTCGTAAGACTTATCCGCAGTTACCATAAAGGCATCTAATATTCATCGAAATACTCATTACACATGGCTTTCCTTGATTTCCTTTCCCTAATTTAATAATTTCTGATGATAGTCAATCCCTATTTAACGTAGAGTTGGAAATAACTCTTAAAATCAATTCGCGCATTAACAATTGTAGTGGTAATACTCTAATACTCAATGCTTAATTTTAGATACAATTATAGCCTCGTTACCTGTATCTTGTAAGATCTTTCAACTTAAGAGAATTAGAAATTCCTACAAATATTCAATTAGTCGACCCGAAATATAATGTAAGCTGCAAAATTGATGTTCTATTAGGGGCAAATGCTTTCTGGGAATTGTTTAAAATGGGGTGGATTTTGGAACGTAATCTTATTTTAAATAAAAATGATAACATCTCAACAAATTTATTAACACGTTTTAGTAATGAAACGCAATTTGTAGGAATTGATTGAACAGAAAATAAAAACTCATAAATTAAATACAGTAGCAGCTGCTTTCTTTTTGATTGATTACATTATAAGGATGGTGGGGTTATTATAGACAATGATTTTTATGTCGACGATTTGCTTATTGGGTCAGACCCGGTTGATGAATTAGTAGAGCGTCAAAGAGATGTTTCGAAAATTTTAGAATCGGGTGGTTTTGAATTGCACAAATGGTCCTCAAATTGCAGAAAAAAACAAATTTGTGCAAATAATGCTCGTCAATCATATCAATTTAACAATAGTAACGAATCAAAAGCTTTAGGTATAATATGGGATTATTCATTCGATACGCTTCAATTTTCCATACATAATTTTTAAATTTTCCATTGAAAATTGTTGAATTTAAAGTTCGACCTTTTAGGGAATGAAATAGTACAGGGTACTTGAAGGAAGTAATGAATATCGAAAAAACCTCTGAGGACATNAATTTATTTGTAAAGTTTAAATCAAAGTATTATTTATATCGGGTGCCAGATTCCAATTTGCTGTTTTTATCTTTTGTGTTAAGGGCAATTACAAATACATACGAAATGCGTACAAACTTTGTACTACAAAGTGTTAAAAGTAGTGGTTAATCCATAAATATGATAAGGTTAAAAATTTATAATCGGAACAATTCGTACGTATTTCGACTACGTCCGGATCTACCCACAGATTAAAGATTTATAATTTCCAATCTGTGGTGTGAACTTATAGTTTCCATTTGGGCACGTATATTACTAATACCAATGAAATTTAATTGAACTGTTATTTACATTAATTAACGTTAAGATAAATTTCGCTTACCAAAATAGCTCAATCTTCTAGTACAAATGACGCGCAATTTTTTGGCGTCAACTAAATAATATGAGCTTGAATAGTTTTTAAATAAATTGACATTGAATTTCTTTCAGCACTCCAAACAAATTTTCCTTTTTTTAATAAAACTATTGATGTACAAGTAAACTACATACATATTTACAACTCGCAAACGACGTACAATTTATAGGTAAAGTTTAAATAAGCGCTTTGTTTATATAGAGTGTCAGTTCACATGACTGCTAATATGGTCCAAATCTTAGCTATGGTTCAAATCTTATTTACGTCTATGGTGTACCCTTTGTATATCTATTATCTATGGGCGTATACCATTTTTGTTAGCCGTGTGCAATTGTGAATTTTGTGTTAAATATATCAAAAGGGATAATTGAGGGAAATTATTCTGTATTAAGTAGCCGTTCGGTAAGTCTTGCAATTTGTTTAAAATATCATTAGTATATGTTTTTTTTGCAAACATTTGTGTCAGTTGAAGCAAGCAAATTATCAATTATTTCTCTCAATAGTAGTCAGCCATTTTAAAATAGGAAGCTGGCGGTTCACCGTTTATTTGTAAAAATTTTGTAACGTACCTATGCATTTAATTTCACTTGCTACTTTTATTTAAAAAAAATAGTGATTGACTCAAACAGACACATAAGTATTTATTAAAATAAGTAACTTGGGTGTTTTTATTCATACGTAGACCATATTCATATTTAGACCACGCTGTCGACAAACCCTTCGAAATTGAATATATTAGCTTGACTTGTAATTAATTGTTATAACATTGATTTTTATTGCAGTAATACGGATGAGTTACTACAAACCTAGGTGAGGTAGTGCAACTGTCTCAAACACAGAAAATGAAGTACTGATTGAGTTAAATGAATTTTTGAATACATTTTTTTTCTTTAGTTTCAGTCAGGCCGTAGCTATGACGCGTGGCCGGGGTTTTAGTATGTCATATCGAGGTGGTTCAGGTCGTTCTCCATGGGGTGGATCAGACAGAAGCCGCTCAGGTTATGGATCTTCAAGAGGCGGCCCTGGGGGCGGAAGTGGGGGTCGATTTTCTAACTCATTCTCAAGCTCTTTTGATTTTAGACCCTCTGAACGTTATTCAGGTTCAAGACATGAAGATTATCACAAATCTTATCGCATGGTGAGTGTATGATAATAATTTTATTTTTTAAACAAATTATATATGTACCTATGTGAATTTTGTCTCTGTGTTACCTGTTCACATGATTAATTTGTGGATAGGCGTCGAATGAGACATAAAATAAACTGTACTTCTATTTAATTTAATTTAAACATAATAAATTTCAATTAGTTTTATAGGTGTACAAACATTGAAATTTTATTCAATTAAGACGTTATATTTACCACATATTAATTCATATGTACATATTACCTGCAATTGTATCACTATGTTATTAACAGGAACCCAATCAGAGTTATTCCAGTCGTGATCATCGTTCGCCAGAGCGAAAAAGAATGAGACCTGAGGTAAGTCGATTCACTTAGAATAATTTTCTTTTACAGAAATACCTACCAATAATGATGAGAAAAAAGTAGCAACAAGACAACCCAACAGAAAAGCATTTAGATAAGCAATAAACCAAAGAAAAGGTTTGGTATATTAAATACACAGTACATTTACTGTTTCCAAGAGTAGATTGAATCACTTGTATTGTACTGTTATAATTAGATCAAATTTTATGGAAAATGATACCTTGCAAACCATTCTACGTCAATATGAAAATATTAAAACTAAAAGTTGTAAAACCATGTTGAAGAAATTTATTACCATTTATTACTATCGAATTGTTTGAGAAAATAAGAAAAAAAACATTGAGATATTCTCCGACTAAAATTATCCGTTTATGTAAGGTAATATGTTGCAAAAAGTGGCCTCTTTTGGCTTGATACTGAAAAAAGGTAGCGAATAAAATGTTTAATGATTATTTTTCTACTTCTTAAATGTGCAGGGAAGTAGGGGACTCCATATAGGTGTGAAGCCTGACGGTTCCCTCCCCGATATATTCATTGCCACAAAAACAATAATAAGAATGATTATGTATTGTTGTTATTGCTTGTTGTTCAGACGTCAAGTTCTCATCGAAGTCACGACGGATTCGGAGGTGGAGGGGATAGCTATGGAAGCGTAAGACGTCCGGGGGGCGGCGGATATCCTGAGCGCCGGAGCTTTTCTCGTGAAAGAGACCGGCATGTTCCTTCATTTTCACACAACCGAGACAGTTTCCGTAAGCCCCCAGTGCCCAGCAGCACCCCGCGTGGCTCTTATCGAGGTGGCGGCGGTGGTGACCGTCTGAGCTCGCGGGGATCGCGTGGCACGCGTCTGCGCGGCGGACCGCGCAGTCGTCGCATGCTTGATAACGGAGGATATGGTGGCGGAGGCCTGCGCAGGAGACTCACACGATCGTCCGAATTCGCGCGGAAATTGAGAATTAATAAAATGAGGAGGTAAATAGACGCACGACCTGTTATTTATAATAATTGCAGAGAAATAATTACCAAAGAAAAGTGCAGGACCCTAAGGTATGGTTTGATTGATACTTGATATGTTAAGAGTAAATAATGATACAAGAGATGGTATTGGCCTTATCAAGTATTTCCGGTGAGTTGGTAATATATTCGAATTTGAACTGGCAGATTAACTGAGACATTGTTGATCGAATTATGTCCTGTTCATACCCAAAATACAATTACACTTGAGCTGAAATGTTTTATATTCTGCGCTAGTCGTCTTTTCAACAAGATCTAAGCATAAAGGCGCTACGAATACTTCGATTTTTCACAGCTTAACGACCTTGACACAGTTGTGAAATTACTCTAAAAAGATGAGAATAAATGTTATTAAAATTCGAATTTGGGTGTGTAATGATTGGTAAATTGCGACCATACCATATTTGTTTTATAAAATATAAACATCTGGATTAAGCATATTGGGTTTACTGTCTTTCTAAAAATGGTAATTATAGAAATGTAACAATTTAATGTATCAGAGAGAAATATATTAAAAGGGGGAAACTATCTTTAAATGTCTTTAGATAACACAAACTACAGAAAAGCACCTTATAAAAATGTACAATCTTTGGATGGAAGAAATAATGTAGATGCAAGTGTTGTGAAGGGTTGTTGGACACATAGATATGACAACTGGATGGTTTTGAGAAGTTTTATCTAAACCACTGATAATTTGATCAATTATCATTGTCAGTATATTAAATTGTACCGAATAAGAATTATATCGTATGAATGTTTTTATTGTTTAGATATTTACAATTAGCTAACTGATAGTTAAATAAAACCTTTGATGTAAATGATTCAACTTCTCCCTGTACGATTTTATTTCAGCAATATATTTTAAAGTCATATTTGAGATTAAAATCGTGTTAATTCTATGTGTACTAGTTTTAATTTATAAAAATATTTTTTTTGTTGATTATCAGACAAAATAACAGTTTAAATTTGACACTTAATTTTGCTAATTGTAAATAACTATGTAGCTTAGAGAATATTATGCATAAATTTTGATAAATCCTATTCTGGTTCTGAACAGGATTAAAATAGCAATCGCACGTCGTCGCGCTCGCGAAAGAGATCGCGCTCTCTCTCCTAAAGATTTGGACAAGGAAATGAAGAAAGAAAAAACAGATGATGAAAAATCAGAAACCGAGGACGAACCTAACAAAACTGGAGCGTCAGAAAAAAGTCCAAAGAAAGAAGATGCAAAAAGTGACAAGGAAAAGAAAATCGATGGTACTGCTTCTGATGGAGACGATAAACAAACATCATTATCTCCTCGACGCAAAGAGTTTATCAAACTCATTTGTCCTCATTGCAACATACGTTGCATTACGTTTGGAAAGTACACTTTACATTTAACAAGCAGCAAGCATGTTTTAGCTATGAGAAGAGTTGCAAATAAGCAAAAATCAATTTTGGCAAGAATGCGATTAGCTCAAAGGAATACGCAAAGGGAATTAGAGAAAAACGCAGATGATTTGGCTCCCCGTACTAACTTTTGCCCCCTTTGTAAGTTAAACTACAAACTACCAAAAGCGACTCACCAAGCATCCGATTCGCATAAGAGTATGAAGAAGTTCTTGATGCCCTATTGCAAGACTTGTCACATTACCTTCAAAAGTCCCATTGCTTTTGAGACCCATCTCTGTTCAATAGATCATATCAAGGCATGTATTTAATAAGTTATTTTATTTTTGAATTAAAATTATTATTTTAACAGCGTAAAGCACGCACTGAAATGAATGGGGAAAAAACGGAGAATGAGTCAGACAATGAAGATGATTTAGAAAATTTCATGACGATCGATTCCGTGGGAGAATTAGATGGTGAGTGTTTAACGTAACAGCAGTAAAATAAAATTAGTTTATTGTCTCTGTTGCCTTTTTATCACCTGTTCTTTTTTTTTTGTATTGAGAATGTTAGTAGCAATTTATTTGTTACTGTACATTTAGGAGAATTGGATATTTTTTTCTGTATTGATTATATGATTTAGCATGCATTTTGTAATAAAGTAAAATAGAAACTAATGATCTTTCTTAACTATTGAAGAAGAGACACCTGAAGGCAAAAAGGAACCGGAAGGAAAAGCGAAAGAGAAGATAAACGTAGGTATCGAGCACATAAGCAAGGTAGAGGTTCATTATTGTGAACTGTGTAAGATGTATTTACCTCGAGTGGCCGAAGTAGAAGTTGAAACAATGTTTTCAAAACATTGTCGACAACGCATTCATATGCAAAAATATATAAGGTACAAGGAGGACAAAGAAATACAGAATCGGGCTGAAAAATTACAAAGAAAAGAAACGGCCGAGAAGGAGAACCGTGAGAAAAAGGTAAATGATTAAAAGAATTACATTAATTATTTATCTACACAAAAAGATAAGAAATAATTAAAATTAGGTACACATGGCATGATAAATATGTTTCATTTTTTTACTCTGAGCAGAAGGAGGGTGATGAAGAGGATACTACAGAAAAGGCTTCAAGTGAACAAAAGAAGGTAAAGGAATGTAAGGAAGAAGAGAAAAAAGACAAAGACTGTTCCCTGGTTGAAGAAGAAGAAGGCGAAGATAAGTTATGGGCGGATGTAGACAAGGACCTTGGAGACATTCTAAGGGAGGCTGAATCCGGAAATAAAAGTTCAGACGAAGAGGATGACGTGAACGGTCGTTATGACAGGTAATTTGCTTCTCTTACATAATCATTAAATTTTAATTTAATTAAACAGAGAAAGCTTTTAATCAGTAATGATTATTTAAAAAGATAATTTTTACATATTAGGTTCAAATATAGTGAGAAGAATGGAGAAGAAGGTGGCAAAAAAGAAACGGAAGAAGAAACTATTGCAAAAACCAAGGAAGAGGGAGAAAATAAAAATGGATCCGAAAATTCTTAGAGGAATAGTAATGCATTCATTATTGAAGTCGCCTATATAAGGGTCATTTTACTCATATAGGCAGTACGATCGAGTATAAATCACATGTTCTGTATTAAGTTTATGATAATATTACAGTTTAGGTTAAAGTTATTTTTTATTTTAAATTGAAAGCATACTATACTTAACTGCTATTAATTATTGTTAGAGTAATTGTTTGCTGTGTAATATGTAAGGAAATAGTAATTAATAAATGTGGTTTGTATTAATCGTGCTTCAATACTTTTAAATATACGTATTCATGCATATGAAATCGGTTATCAAATGTGTAATAAGCTGAATGTATACATAATGAATGACAAAAAAAATAACAAGTAAAAGTCAAAAACAGGAAATTTTAATAGTTGTTCATGTAGTACATTAGACGTTTTAGGAAAACTAAGCATGTTACGAGGTTTGAAAATTTAACTAAATTAATAATTTCAACTATTGGCCACTTCCATTTATACTGAAAGTTGTCAACTTTGTATGAAATGGAATAATATATCTTTTTGTGTTGAATTCGTATGAAACAAAATTTAAGGTAACTGATAACGAACTTGTACGCCTAATTGTACTAAGTACTAAGTAATATAAAGATGAACTTATGTAGATGGTATTGTGTAAGAGCATTTGTCACTAAAAATATAATTTAATTTTTTTTTACAAGAATTTTAATGGACATTTATAAGATAATATTAAATAGCTTACATTTTATGAGAAATCGTTTTTATGTAATTTCTAATTGTCCTAGAGTAGAAACACTAATTCTTTGAGTGTTCATAAGCAGTGAGCAATAGAACACATACTCTATTTCAATTTTAAATGAAATACCTATACGTAATTAATAAAATTAGTAACTGAATAGTCGAGTACTATTTTTAGCTATTTCCTGTAGATGACTATGAACTTCATAATAATAGGGACCCTACAAAATAATGTGACATATAATAAATTTCTCAATAGGTAGCGCTGCATGCTCTTGTTACTTTGAAATACTTCAAATTTTGAATGAGTTTTGTTATTTATATATAAATGAACAAATGTGCACTTGCACAGCTCCTAATTTCAAAAGTCATGGAAATGTTAGATTATTTTTAATTTTCCCGTTTTTTTCCCACGATTTGGTGAAGTGTTTATATACATAAATGATGTAACTATTAGTATTTAAAAAATCGAATGAATATGAAATTTTGATCTACGAAAGAAATATGGGATCTTTTTTAATTCTTTCGTAGTTTTAATTTTTGAAATTATCAATGAAAGATGATATTCATTCGTAGTTTCTCAAACGATTTAAAGATGTGTATATCGCATGTAATTATTTATGGGAAAAGAAAATATGAGCGGTTCTTAAAATACACAGGTATTAAATTGACTACAATATTAATTCTAATCATTGATATACTGCGAAAGATTCTTTAAGAAGGAATATACATATGTACATATTAATTTAAATATTAACTTCAATTTAATCATTTTCAGTGAATTAAGAATAAAAAATTTCATAGTATGAATAATATACACACTTTTTTACATAGGTAACGATGAGCGAAACTTACTATTTGTCTGGAGATTATCTTTTGATATAGAAAAAAAGATAAATCCCTTAGGGTATATTTAAATTTCGCCTGTGTTTATTAATAAATTCGCCATATTGTTCAGATCAAAAGCATCGGAAAGGTACTTTGATTATTAGACAGATGTAGGTAGGTATTTATTATTTATACAAGTTGCGATATTCATTATTAATATTTTTATGAGATTGTAGGAGCCATATAATTTTGCTACATTTTTCGATTGCATATGTCATTGAAATTTATTGCTTGCAAATTATAGTCGGCAGTACCTGTTTCTCGCAATCGTAAAACCGCTTAATGACTTTTAATGTCGCGGAAACTCGTCTTCATAAAACTGACGCAAAAATATATAGCTCAATCAATACAAATCTCAACGCGCAACGTATTATTTAAAACTACTAACGTCCGTGATTACCCAGTTTTTGATTGCAATTTTTTCGACTTAAGTTCATTAAACAACATAAAATCTCTAATTTATATGTGTGATATCTTTTAAATTACTATCATCGACAAGGAATTGTATTACGGCCTTATTGTGATTTAAATCACTAAAAAGAAATGTTACCGAATTTAAACTGACTCTTTTAAATACACATTTAGATACATTGTATCAAATTTCGAATTATAATTGGTAAAAAGGCACAGGGCGTATACACAGTAATGTGCACCATCAGTGTGAGCACACATGGGGACTAGACAAGGCAAAAAGTTCTTTATCTACTGACATAAAACTAATTTTGTCTTTTGACTTGCAATAAAGAAAGTGATAACCTATATATTTGACTTTATGTTAATTTGATTAAAAATAATTTTTAATGAATATAAAAAAAAATTTAATCTGCTGTTTTAATTTAAATGAAGCACTTTAAGAAGCTTTTAATGACGGTTAACATTTACTTATATTCAAGCATTAATGTGAAACTAATTCAATTTTCACCTACTACAAATTACCTCAAATTAATAAGGAAAACTTGCTGCTGCTGTAACACCCTCGCCGAGAATCGAACCTGGCACCTTTAGCTTTATGCACCACTAATCTGACTGTCTTAACTTAATTATTTTTAAATATAAAGTAGAAAAATATGCGGCGTAACATCAGGGGGGAGGGGGTTTTACAAATGTGACTACTTGTGGCAAAAACGGGGGGAGAGGTTTAAAAATCATAAAATTTGTGTGACGTAATTTATGGATGGCTCCGTTTCGAGGTATTGCTGAAATGNCAAATGGTCCTCAAATTGCAGAAAAAAACAAATTTGTGCAAATAATGCTCGTCAATCATATCAATTTAACAATAGTAACGAATCAAAAGCTTTAGGTATAATATGGGATTATTCATTCGATACGCTTCAATTTTCCATACATAATTTTTAAATTTTCCATTGAAAATTGTTGAATTTAAAGTTCGACCTTTTAGGGAATGAAATAGTACAGGGTACTTGAAGGAAGTAATGAATATCGAAAAAACCTCTGAGGACATTCTTGTAGATCCCTCTTTTCAAACAGTGGAAAACAGTTTCCTTTTTTATATTTTTGGAGTTAAAATCTAGTAAAGCAAACAGAAAATTTCATATACAAAAAATAGTTTTTCGTTTAGTCCTGCGTATTTGTTTTGTTCAGAAAAATTAGCTTAATCTCCCATGCGTCAAAAATCTTATCTAGAATTGTACAGAGGAGGATAGAAAAAAGGACGAAAGAACTATTAGGGGAAGGTCAATTTCGGTTCAGAAGAAATAGAGGAGCCCGGTAGGCCATTCTAGCTTTACGGGTAACAATAAAGAAATCGATAGAAAAAGGAAAGAGTGCGTACATAGGATTTGCAGATTAAGAAAAAGCTTTTGACTATGTTAAATGGGATAAAACGTTAAATATACTTAAAAATGTAGGGACGAGTTACAGAGATAGAAGAGTGATACTTAGTTTGTAAAAAGAGCAACAGGCAGTGATAAAGTTGGAGCGGCAACGTATATATTAGGAAGGGAGTCAAACAGGGATGCACATTGTCATTGCTACTTCTTAATCTATACTTCGAAGACGCGGTCAACATCATTAAGCACATTATTGCTGTAGGGATAGATATAGAAGGCCAAAAGATTAGTGTATATGCTTAGATTTGCAGATGATGTAGCAGTATTAGCATCTAACAAGGAGGAGTTAGAGATAGCTTTAAATAAAATGGAAGTGGTATTGACAACAATACATCAGGCACAGTAATATATACGTTACTTACTTTTTCTACAGTTACTGTTATCGGTAAAACAGCGGCATAAAAGTTTGTTTTCTCAGTATCGCGAGAGTGAGAAAAGACATACAAATAAATCATGACGAGGATGCGGATTCTTGTGGATCAGCCGCAACTGAAGATTTGGATGAGGATAACCGTCACAACCCTAATACATACTCAAGGAACCAAAAGGATACATGTTTGGGTAAAACTTTTGGTCACAAAATTTAAATCAGTGCTGATCAAGTTGTTTTTTTTGGCAAGGTGAACATTATCGGGCAAGATTCCAGAGCTGCTAAACATTATTTATTTTCTGAGTTGTACAATATATGGGATAGAGTACTTTGACGTATGTATTCCAGCTAATTTGAGCCGACGGTCAGTTTGTAGGTGCTAAAGGTACGTAAAAACATCGCTTATTTTTCTTGTGGTGATGGCTTTTACATAATGTTTCACAGAATATTGTTAAAAATTAACAATCAATACTATCAAACCCTTTCCACTGACGGTAATTTCTGCCAAATGCTTCAAAGTTCGTGAAAGGATCGTAATTTTATTTATAGTCTGAGTCTTCATTTTTACATTTAATACGTAGAGAACTATTTCAATACTTTTTGTAAGTATTAGCCAGACCAAACATTCCCCAGACGGAATTAAAATGTCGCTGTGTTATAATCTCATGTACCTAATTAGTGCGCTTACGCTTATACATACAGCGACATTTTAATTGTGTCTCGGGGTTGTTTGACCCTTACAAATGGTCAGGACACTTATAAAAAGTATTGAAATAGCTCCCTAAGTATCATATTTAAAAATGAAGACTCAGTGTGTGGCAGTGTTTATTATTAATTTTTAACAGTATTCTGTGAAACATTATGTAAAAGTAACCACTTTAAGAAAAGCGGGAAATGTTTTTACGTATCTTTAGCACCTTATATCTGCAAATTGGACCACGGTCTAAGTTAGCAAGTACGCATACGTTCAAAGTACATACTAACATTACTCTATCCCACCTATTTTGTTACGCAGAACATAAGTAATGTCTGGCGATTCTGGGATCTTCGACTATTTCATAGATCGCTGAAAATATGTATAGGCTACTGATCAGTAAATACTGTAAAAACATTGAATTGTAAGTACAAAGTCAAAATAAATAGAAAATCCCACTAGCCTCCCGGAGTTGCTGAAAAATAACGTCGAAGGTTGCATTAGAAGTATCTGTAGTTAGTCTTGTCTGGGTGGGATAGGATAAATCAACAACGTGTTTTCAAATATAGGAATAACAAATTTGGTTCATGGAATAGGTTAATTTTTAATTTAGAATCCTTATCGGTGAGCGTATGGGGGTTGCGGTTCGCTTTGGAAATAAATAAAAATAAGCAGTATGATTTTCAGTAATATTAAGCGAGAGACTGAATTTATACATGATTTGAAATCCTCAGTCTGGTAATGATTTCAAACCGCTGAAATCTCTTAAATAGATAACACTGAACAGTTGTCAAATGTACTTACAGTGAGATGTATTAATAGTAACGGCATATTCGTGGAATCTCTGGAAATGTTTTCGAAAGTAAATTAAGAGAGGGGATGAAGATATCCTCTAAGTAGACAAAACTAAAATCTAAATCCGAAAGAATCTTTTGATCTTTTGAGCTGCATATAGGGAAATCCATACTTGTAAATTTGAAGATCCAAAAAGGATTAATAACGACTGTTGTTGGAAGATTTTGAGGTGCACAAGAAGTTGATGGTAGGTTTTAGTTAAACCCTATTGTAACCTATAGTTGTGAAGAAATATGAGAAATCTGGCGACTCGGTTAAAATCATTATTAATCCACATGAGATTGCGATCCGTGCGTAGCTTTTCTTATCGTACACAGGGCTTTTCAATTGTCAACAAATCTCTCGATCACTCATGTGTTGAAAGTTCTGTTTCGAGGCGGCTATAATTATGCCGGAAAAATGATTGAAATCGGCAGAAAATTGTGGGTGACACGAACAATGATTATTGTGAAAATTCGTTGCGCGTAAATCAAATTTGTGTGTAAGCAACATCCTAATATGGAAAAAATTAGGCTATGTAACACTTTTCTTTCGAAATCATCGAGCAAGGCTTGCACTCTCTGCAAATGATAAGGTTACAGCAACTGTTTCTTTAAAATTTGCGACACTGTCACATGACAGGAGCGAACATTCGCTGTTGTTTTGCGTGTACTATTTTGAGGATTGTCTTCTTTAAAATTGCGGGTTTCGTCCCTAATACAGACGCGATACGGTTGAAACCCGCAAATACGTATCATTTCTCATTATCAACTGTTCTACATTGACTGATCTGCACTAATATTGATGTTGTATTGCTGAATTAGTTTACTGAACTGTACATTGATTGCCTCATACAAGGTTTAAACGTTAAAAGAATAAACGGCTACTAGAGTTTGGCTGTTAACATAAACATCATGATTCACACTTAATCTAATCTTACAAATAATCTATACAAGAGCTAAAAAATACGAAACAAATACCACACTGATGCTGGTAACCACCAGCTGATTGAGTGCAGCGTTGCGGGCCGTATTTCTCTACCAGGGCCGAAATTGAATTTACCTGTACTTTCAATTACATTTTTCCTTAAAATGGTAAACATTCGGACATACAAACATTTACTTAATATTAATGTTTTATACTTCCCTATCACCTCCTGCAAGCTCGGTAGGTTCCTTTGATCTGTCAGGGTTTATGTGCGCTGAACTGCCATATACGAGGACGGTTCAATAGCGTTACCGAAGTGTTTAGATATAAAACGTATGTGTACTGTGACCTTACGATGACACTCTGTACAATCCAGCCCCTGCTTAGCGGGGAACTCATAAGCGTCGGCAGAAGAGTGATGTACGGGCGTGGCTGGGAAGTGAACCTACTGTATAGAATCTTTATACTGCGCTCGCGATGTACATTACGCGTCCCTATGTAGTTTCTACTCTTATCTCTAGTTTCTAGAGTTTGGGTTGATTCTCTTTTTCTGTGGTGTATTGAGCGCTCATTGCTTACGTCTTACGACAGACAAAGTTTTAAAACCTAATAACATCATAGGGACTCATTAAAAGCGGTCTTTTTCAGGTACCTATAAATGATGTCTTAAATCCGACACAAGCAACCGTGTTGTGGTTCAGTTCGGATAACCTAATTCTAAATGTAGTTTTTTAAAATATAACGCATTGTTCTGCTGTATTTATAGATTTATTCTCATTCACCTTTTTAGCAAATCTTTTGTCATTGAGAAATAGTGGGGTAGAACCGCAGAATCATTGTAGAATATTCAATGATACCAAAAATATAGACAACCATTTTTGAAAATATGTTACATTTTGTCAATTTTTCGTTTTTGGGGTAAGTTTGTTAATAGAGTATAATACCAGGATTGTTTTTAAAAGATGCTTCTCAGCTAATTAGGCTTTACGGGTTGTTGAAATCAATGTCGTATTCTTCAAAAAATTTAACGTCAAATATACTTCGTTTAGTTTCTGTAACGATGTGACCTTAGTTTGACCGGCGTAAAGTAGAAAAGAACAGCACTAGGCCAGAAAAGAAAGGAGACAACTCTCGGCCAAACTCTTAACCGGTGAGGAGCGTATAATCCGTACAGCACTGCACGGAAAAATTGACCATTTTATCCACTACAATTGCATTGCTCAAATGTGCTGTTATTGGTACCAATTACTACTGAAAATATCAACGAGATGTTTCTTTATATTTGAAGACATATTAAAGGCCTTAACGCTTGTTTTCGACTCGCACCACCATTCATGATTGAACGAAACTTTTGGCAGGTACTGTATGAAAAAGTTTGTTTAATGAACCAGAGTCGAGAGTATAATGAGCTTTTTTCTCCCTACCTACGATTTTGCCAGCGCGCATCCAAGACATTAGAAGGGGCACATCGCTAGAGAAAGTAAATGAAGTGTAGAAAAATGCTCAAATTTTTCAAAAATACAAAAATTATTGTAGACTAATGAGAATTTTCCCTGTAAGATATTTACCTTATAAAAGATAATAAAAAAATTAGAAGAACTAATGGGTTTGCTTTTAAATATGTATTTATTAGGAATCTGAAAGTGAATTTCACTTTTACCTACTATTATTTTTCCTTACCTAAAAAGTGTTTTCCTTCGAATTCCATATTCAATTTTTTCTTGCTAACGATAAGAAGACATGCCCTGAAATTTGCATTTTATTTATTATAACTCATATAAATACATATTTGTATTTATATATTTTGATGGTGGTGATGAGAAAAAAATTAACAATATGGTTTATCATTTATTTAAATTAAAAAATGAAACAACTTCTTACATGAATAGCTTTATTTTAAGTACACATACTGTACAGAATACTTATTCAACGTGAAATTTTAACACGTATTTAATATCGATAATAACTCTAAATCGTTTTTATATAATAATATATTTTACAATTGTAGAAATAAATAGGTAAAACATAACAGGATATCATTTATATTAGTAACTAGTACAGTAAAAATCACTTTGTATATTGGAAATTGCCAATACATGAATTCCTAATTTTCTCTTCACCTTCGTCTCGTGTCGTCTTTAAGTTTATACTTCACTTTGCATACAGTGCATCGACGACGATTCTTGGGATAATTCGTCTAGTGAAGAATCTGGAATTAAATTTTATTTAGAGTGCAAGCTAATAGAATTATCTGTTTATTAATTTAATGTTGACATTTGTTTATATTACTTTTTGTTTAAATAGGTACTTCATAAAATTGAAAGTTCTGTGCAATCGCTGGTGGTATATATATGCTGTTAATAAAAAATTATAAAGTACATTCTGCCCTTTTTTTAAAAAATTAAGACCTATTGTATCCCTCTATGCTATAACAAAACCAGCTTTACATGCAAATATTTTGTCACCGGTCATCAGTTAAGCATTTAAAGCGTCCTCGGAGTTATAATCCGTTCACTTAGAGAAAGGTACATCATGAACGATGAGCACAAACGAATATCAGTCGTAGGCGGAGGGAACAGCCGAATATGGTCGACGGTTTGCAGTCAGATGTTAATCCAACAGCGCAGAGTTAGACTAATGGCCGACTGTGTACAAGGTCTGTTCAAAAAGTATCGCGAATTTTGAATTTCCCTGGGTTATGTCCATTCGATTTTCGATTTTTTTGTGGCGTTATATTGGTACTTATGTCCCTCACTTATACCGACAAGTTCAGCCATGTTGAATGTTCAGTTAATTTTTGATAGCTGCTCTGCTTGCACGGCTCGTCTCCGACTTTTTCCCATTCCAAAAAATGGATCAAAGAATCTGTATCAAATTTTGTGTGAAAAAAAAAATTGAGTGCGCGGACGTATTCCGAATGTTGATTGTGACATATGGTGAAGCTACCTTGGACCGAGGCAACCTTTGTCAGTGGTACAAAATGTTCTCAGACGACCGAGAAGATGTGAACGATGATGAGCGTGCCGGACACCCTAGCACGTCAACATAGACGAAAACACTGGTGAAGTAAAGAAAATGGTATTGACTAATCGTCAAATCACCGTTAGAAGTTGCTGAGAACCTAAACATATCGATTGGGTTCTGTCATTCGATTTTTCCAATAGTTTGGGCATGAGATGGGTTGTCCAGAAATTGGTACCAAAATTGCTCAATTTCGACCAAAAACTGCATCGCATTAACATTGCTAAGGAGCTGTTGGACAGAAGGTCATAACTGGTGACGAATCATGGGTTCATGGTTATGAGGTAGAAACCAAAGCTCAATCATCCCAATGGAAGCTGCCGCACTAGCCAAGACCGAAAAAAGCGCGAAGTTAGGTCGAATGTGAAGGTTTTGCTTACATTTTTCTTCGATTTCTGGAGCGTGGTGCATCATGAGTTCTTGCCCAGATTTGTGGAAGAACAAAAATAGGCTTTTGCACCATGATAACGCCTTTGCTCACACATCGTTGCTTGTGCACAAATTGGTGGTCAAAAACAACATACTAATAATGCAGCAGCCACTGTATTGCTCTGATCTGGCTTCCTGTGATTTTTTTTCAGTGGCTATGACTTTATTGCATTTATTTATTTTACTCTAGAGGGGCCGTTTTGTACCTTTTTATAGTATCAAGACAATTGAAGACACTCTTATGATACTTTTCTCTATTAAAGTTGATTGTGTGTTTCTAGCTTTTTTATTCCGATCAAAGCCTTTGATGTTGTAAATAACTTTACTCCCACTGGAACAATTCACGCAAATCGATCAGGCATGGTGCACCTTTCTATAAGTAAACGGACTTCACTCATATAATGAAGAATTTTAAATTCGATAAAATAATAATACTACAAGATAATTTTGTTAAATTTGTACGTTAAAATTTTATAAACAAATATTTTTAACTTGTTATATTTCAAAAAGATCATATTAGCCAGTCTTTATAAAAGAATATATATATATTATTAGACGACTTACAAATTTACGTCCAATTTACGGAAAATTTCAAATTTTCTTTAAACTTTATGGTATTGTTGTCTTTTCAATTTTTATAAATATCGCAGCATTGGTTTTGTTTGTCACCACTACGTCTTATCACACATTGCATCACTGTTTCAGTAAAAATATCTATTTGAAAACATTATTTACGATATAAGTGATTAGAAAAAACAAACTCACCAGGGTGGGAAAAAAGAGGCGGGGTAGTTTTGGAATTTTGTTGTTGAAACGAATACGTCAAGTGAAGATTTATATGGTGTCGGCCGAAACCATTTGAATCGTTGCTATTATTGTTATGCACTGAAATAAAGGAAGAATAAATAAATCACCATTTAAAAGTTATGCGTCTATATTAATGATACTGATAAATTTTTAAGTCAGATATATTATTAGATGTTACTTGTTATCTGCTTACTTTGGGTCTTTACTTTGCCATTGTGCATATGTTTCTTTTGTCGCGCCCGAGAATTTTGAAACCAAACTTGGGTCACTCTTTTGCTAAGTCCTGTGATTTGAGCAATTCGTTCTAAGTCTTGACCATCAGGATTTGAATCCAATTGAAAATTTGCCTGCAGAACTTGCAACTGCTCTTCGGTAAAAGTCGTCCGCACTCTTTTGGCCTTATTCTTGTGAAATCCATCAGCATCACAACCATCTGTAAAGCAATAAAACCACCATATAAAAAGATTATCTTCCAAGCCCATTAATTGTGAACTAACTTTGATAGAATTGAAAAAAGCATTGCAGAAGCAGAGCAAAATCTCACTATATACCATAAATTATAAGAGATAGGTATACTTCATTTACTTTCTCTAGCGATGTGCCCCTTCCAATATCTTGGATGCGCGCTGGCAAAATCGCAGGTAGGGAGAAAAAAGCTCATTATACTCTCGACACTTGTTCATTAAACACACTTTTTCATAAAGTACCTGCCAAAAGTTTTGTTCAATCATGAATAATAGTGCGAGTCGAAAACAAGCAATAAAGCCTTTAATATGTCTTCAAATATAAATAAACATCTCGTTGATATTTTCAGTAGTAAATGGTACCAATAACAGCACATTTGAGCAATGCAATTGTAGTGGATAAAATGGTCAATTTTTCCGTGCAGTACTGTACGGATTATACGCTCCTCACCGGTTAAGAGTTTGGCCGAGAGTTGTCTCCTTTCTTTTCAGGCCTAGTGCTGTTCTTTTCTACTTTGCGCCGGTCAAACTGAAGGTCACATCGCTAGAGAAACTAAACGAAGTATACGTTCGATACTATTTTTGAATATGTGACATAATCCGAAAAGATGTAGAAGAATTTTATAGGCAAACGATTGGACATTGATTTGCAAATCTTCTAATTAAAAAAGCAGCCGTGTACTGTTTGAGATTAGAATAGCAAAAGTTTCGTACCATCCGACGAGGTGGTGCCTCCATCTAGGGTTTCCAGATAGTGTGCCTTGCACAAGACCCTATCTTCGTGAAGGGCAAATTCCTCTCCTGTGGAAAGCTGTCGATGACACGCCGCACAGGCGAAACAGGCTAAATGATAGACGTGTTCTCGCGCCTTTCGTACCCAATCGCTCGAGGAAATCCCCCTCGCACAAACTGAACACTTTGCTCCGAAACTTCTGAAAAGGAAAACGTGATCTTGTTACCAGAAGTTTACGCTCGACTGATTGAAACTTGGAAAATCGAATTGTTTGCTGAATATAGCATACATACATTTATATAACGTTAGATATACCAATTCTGCAGTTCTCATTCAGAAAATCTCTTGCTTACTAAATTGATTTTAGCAGAAAACTCGAGACAAATATTCAGAAAAATCGACATATAATAAAAATTAATAAAAACAGTCTGGTGTAGTATGGAGATTTAATGAGCAGTGGCGGAGTAACACTGGGGGTAAAGGAAAAGGGGCCGCTTCGGACTTCTAGTCCTGGGGGACTTCTAAATTTCGATATCCTTTTTAATAAAATCCCAATTATGGTCCAAATATGTTCAGCGCCTAATAAGCGTAAAGAGCAGTTTGGATTTTGGAATTGTATATGAATAAATACATTATAAATTTACTTGATGTATCTATACATTATAAACAATTTCTGGACATCGTTGAAATCTCCTTTACGATATCCTTTTGATGTCTCGGTTAGGGAAAGCGTCAATGCATTGAATTATATAAAAAGAAAACGTTACACTGTTTTCCACTAATGGTATACGTTATTGCATCTACCTTCTACCATACTACCACAATAACCAACATATTGATAAATTCGTTCGTCTTTTTATGATAATTCTCGATTCTTTGAGCACGAGTGAACCATAAGTTTTTCAACACTATAAAACAACTTAAAAATTGAATTCATTTAACGACGGGCCAACCAAGATTAAATCATAATGTGATGTTGCATATTTATTATGATCTCGAAAAATTGATGGACGAAATCAATTTAATAGGCGATATGGGTTAAAAGACACCTTCCTAGCCATGAAGGTCTGGTCAGAGACATATTAGAGGCAGAAACGGAAGTTAGGAAGGGAAGAGGTAGACCTAGATTAATAGAATAAATATTCGGGCTATAGGGCCATGGTCTAAGTGAACTATTCTGGACAGAATTTTTATTCTACTATGGATTGAGGTCGTGAAAGCCTTTGTTCAAATAGTTAAGGATGTGGGTTGTCCTAGTTTCAATCAAATAATTTTGTCTCTGTGATTATTGGGAAAATAATAATAATATGAACTTAAACTTTTTTATTTACTACAAAAAAATAGGAACATTTTGCAATGTTTAAATTATACGTGTAATTTAAATTAAAGTAAAATTATTATTAAAATAAATTAAGTTCAAATGTTTGGATGAATTTTTGTGAACAACCCAACATTAAACAATAATTGTTGTAAGTCAGCCGCTAACAGAGCAATGTGTGCTGGTACAAAATATAATTATATACAGGTCATAGAAAAGAGTGGAGGTGCGTGTCCAACCAGTCTTAGGACTGACGACCTTATGTGAATCGTTGCTATTATT